GTGTTTACAACTATTGATTCGAGTACGACGTTGTGTCTTCTATTTTAGCTCTCATCACAATCTTTATTTCCTAATCGTATTTTAATCACACCACTAACCCTTGTGTAAAAATAACAACATAAAAATGTTGCGTACGTGTCAACTATGCCATTTTAATAATCCTTCTAAAACAGTTTGAACAATTATAGGATTATCAGATAATATTTTTTATTGTTTTTATAAGTGTGTTTATTTCTTAAAGTAGTTACAATTCGTTACTTTCAGTCTTATGTGGTCCGACGAATCCAACTTTACTAACACCTAATGGCCTTACGTCCGCGCGATTAAATCTCCCATAATAAACAGAATCGTTAAGGACACTTGTGAAAACAGATGTATCGATAACATTCAATAACACAAAATCATTGTGATATGATTGATCAAACTGTTTATATTTAGGTTCGCTACAATCAGCGACGTTTCTTCGCCGTTTTCGAACCAAGTAATGTGATTGTTCTCCACTTGGCTATTATTACGTGCAGCGAGCATCAGATTCATACATATTTCATAGAGCCGTGTTGCCATTACTCGTGCAGATGTATCGACAATACACGGGATGAACAATCCTCAATGCATTTTTACGAGCCACATTCACCAAGAATCGGGTGTCCGTTGGTGCTACAAGACACTAATAAATGTGTAATTATAACTAATACAAAATTGGGGGTTTGTTAGTTATGCAACCAACTATACACGCAGCTCATTTTTTTCAGAAGTTTCAATTTCCCGCCACTGCACTGCCAATTACACAAACAACGAATAAAATTGTTACACGTATTTTTGCTCTACATAACTTTCACTAACTGGCCTTGGTTTTTCGCGCCTGCGGTTAATTGCACTGCAGTGGCGGCTCGTGAGGTTTAAGCGGAGTGAGGCGAAGAATCTTGGCTATTTATATATCTATATTATTGCAAAAACTTCCATGTCCTTTGGGTCGATCTATAAACTTGTCGCTGACGTTGCTGTTCGCCATTGACGTTGGCGTTGGGTTTTCAACCAATCAAACTGCGCTAGTGTGCACTGCTGTCAACTTGAAGGAAAATCCCCTGAAGTAAGGTCCATATTAAAACAAAAAGACAAAATCTATGCCCGCCCACCCACCCTATCTCAATTGTAAAGATTTTTTTAATTCACGGTGAACCAACGGGGGCGGAGCTTAACTGCAAAATACTTATTTCTTCACAAGAAATTAAAAGCATGTTTTTGCGTATCCATAATATTCTTTGAATAACGCGATACTTACATGGCAATTTCTTGTACAGAAATAACGATTTTGCAATTAAATTCCGCTCCTTTGGCTCTCGATGAATACCATAAATCATCACAATTGAGATGGGGTGGGTGGGCGGGGCTAATATTTTGCCCATTTTTCTTAATTTACGTAGTCGTCTTTTCAGAACAAGAAACTTAAAATTTGTTTAAAATGATAAATTCGTATAGACAGACATGGATCTTGCATTTAAGCCCCGCCCCTTGATCTGACAACGAATGAAAAATTGATCACAATTGAAAATTGAGATCGGGGCGGGTATGGGTGAGGCCTAATCTTTGTCTTTATTTTTTTGTTAATATACATAGTATACTTTGAACAACACCATACTCAAAAACATGTTTTTAATTCCTTGTAAAGACATAAGTATTTTGCAGTTAAGCTCTGCCCTCTTGATTCACGACGAATAAAAAAAATCATCAGAATTGCGATCGGGTGGGTGGGCGGGGTTTATATTTTCCTTTGTTTCTTACTATGCACAGTATTCTTTGAATAACACGATACTCAAAAACAATTTTTTAATTTTTTCTAAAAAAACAAGTATTTTGCAGTTGAGCTCCGCCTCCTTGGTTCACAGTGAATAAAAAAAATCGTCACAACTGAGATATGGCGGGTGGGCGGGTTTACATTTTGCCTTTTTATTGTAATATGTGTAGACTAGGAAAAAAGAAGCAAAATATATGCCCCGCCCACCCACCCTATCTCATTTGTAGTTAAAAAATTTATTCGTCGTGTGCCGAGGGGTAGAGCTTACTCGCAGTCCTCATTTTTGTCCAAGAAATTACCAACTGAAACATATCTTAAGTGGGTAATCGTATTGTTCAAAGAAAATTATATGTATTAAATAAAAAAGAAAATCAAAGTTCAAGCTCCACCTATACTATCTGAATACATGTTTTGAATTCTGGAAAAGATCAAAATTTTCTATGGATGCAAATCTGTTTCCAAGATACGTCAATGTATTAATTAGATTTGTAAAAGCAAAATTTGTTATTAGCGAAGGATGCACTCTAAAACTATATTATTACAACAATAAGGCAAAATGTAAGCCCGCCCACCCGCCCTACCTCAATTGTGATGATTTTTTATTCGCCGTGAACTCAAGGGGGCGGAGCTTAACTGCAAAATACTTATTTCTCTACAAGAAATTAAAAACATGTTGGTGACTATCGTGTTGTTTAAAAAATACTACGTATATTAAGAGAAAAAAGACAAACTATAAAAAACCCGCCCAACCACCCCATCTCAATTTTGATGATTTTTTTTATTGTTAGAAACTTTAAACATTAGTTGAGACGATAAAAAAATCATCACAGTTGAGATAGGGCGGGTGGGCGGGGCTTATATTTTACAGTTTTTCTTAATATACGTAGTCGTCTTTTCAGAATAAGAAACTTAAAAGATGTTTAAAATGGTAAATTCTTGTAGACAAATACGATCTTGCAATTAAGCCCCGCCCCTCGATCTGACAACGAATGAAAAATTCATCACATTTGAGAATTGAGATTGGGGCGGGTATGGGTGGGGCCTAATCTTTAGCTGTATTATTATTTTTTTCAGTATACATAATATTCTTTGAACAACATGACACTCAAAAACATGTTTCTAATTTCTCGGAGAGAAATAAAGATTTTGCAGTTAAGCTCCGCCTTCTTGGTTCACGACGAATAAAAAGAATCATCAGAATTGAGATCGGGTGGGTGGGCGGGGCTCACTTTTATCTTTTTTTTTATTAATATGTGTAGATTTATTTCGACAACAAGAAAGTTAAAAATTATTCAACTTGTAATCAAAATCGGAAATTTGGACAAAAAAATAATATTTTACGATAAATACATATAGGTCATGAAATAATTTGGTAACAGAACTTCCATGGACTAAATTTTTCTTCAATTTCTTCCAGTCTTGAAAAATCTGGAGATATTAATATTTATATTTTTTAAATTGTGTTTTTATAAGATTTGTTGTTTTTCTTCCAATATCTCTATAGTTATCAGAGTTTTTTTTTTTTCACTAATTTTTATTTTATTGCGACGTTCTTCAGTTTTAATTGAAATGCCAACTTAAAAAATTAATGAGCTCGAAATTTCGTGAACACTAAAATTGAAAAAAATTTTGGCAAAAAGTTCTTCAACCTGAAACAAAAATCGAAAATTTCGACCAAAAACTAAAACTTTGTGAGGAAAAATTAAACAGATTTAAATCTCGTAAAAACAAAGTCTCACAATTGTGCCAAAAAAAATTATTCAAATCGTGATCAAAAGCGAAAATTTGGCCAAAAAATTAAAACTTTATGATAAATACACGGACTATAAGAAGATTTAAATAGAACCACGACGGACCAAATTTTTCTTCAACTTGGAAGAATTTACCGTTTTAAACATGTTTTAAGTTTCTTGTTCTGAAAAGGCAACTACATATACATATTAAGAAAAAACGACAAAGTATAAGCCCCGCCCACCCGCCCTGTCTCAATTGTGATGATCCTTTTTATTCTTAGAAACTTAAAACACGTTTAAAATTCCAAATTTTCGTAAAGAAATAAGGATTTTGCAATTAGGCTCCGCCCCTCGATCTGACAACGAATGAAAAATTCAGCACGATTGAGATCGAGACGGATGGGTGGGGCTTCTCTTTTTTTTTTTTTTTTTCATTATTACAGGTAGCTTTTTTTGTGTAACACGATTACTTCGAGTCCGGGGCGGGTATTGGTGAGGCCTAATCTTTGGCTTTTTTTCTTTATATATATACATAGTATTCTTTGAACAATACGATACTCACAATTATGTTTTTCATTTCTCGTAGAGAAATAATTATTTTGCTGTTAACCTCTGCCTTCTTGCCTCACGACGAATAAAAAAATTCATCACAATTGAGATCGGGTGGGTGGGCGGGGCTCCCATTTTGCCTTTTTTTATTAATATGTGTAGATTTATTTCGACAACAAGAAACTTAAAACATGGTTAAAATGGTAAATTTTTGTAGTAATCAAGTTAAATCCTCCACTTTTCTTCTACAACCCCTTTAAATAAGGCAAAAGTTGAACATTAAAGTTACTATCAACGCCAACTTGGCAACGGAGTTTAGAAATGACAATTTTCAGCTCTGAAAGCAACGTCAGCAGCAAGATTATAATTCTCACGTTTAGCCGACGTCTCACACACGTAGAAGACTCGTTTCTGATTTGTCCGCTCATCACGGTTAACTATGACCTCGGTGTGCGTAAGCGGTAGCGACTTACCGCTTACGCGCGTTGATGCTCTGTCCGCAGAATGTGTGTCCCTGGTGATCCGCTTGCGAATTATTAACCCCTTTAAATAGAATTTGTGAGCATCCCAAATTCCCACGTCGGCAACGCCGGCGACGCGGATCGCGGCTTGAACCCTCCTCCACTTAATTGCACGGCCCGCAATAATTAATAATCTTCGTCCCGCCACGACGTGTGGGCGTCTCGCAAAAAAGCAGTATGTGCGTTGCAATAACCAATTATTGAAGACTGAATTTAATGGCAATAATTACGAACGACAGACGTTCTCGACCGCCCCATCTCCAGCGTTAGAGGCCCGCAGCCTTGGACTCGCCAAATGCTCTCGTTAATCTGCATCTCATTTTAACCTTTTGCACTTATACTTTGCATGTCTCATGGCCGAAAGCAAGCGTTTTACGAAAGCGTGCGTTGTGATGTTTGCAGGAACTGAAAGAAAGCTTCAATTATGGACTGTTCTGCCCCCCGGAGAACGGCAAGGCCGGAAAATTCCTGGACGAGGAGCGGCGGCTGGGAGATTACCCGTTCAACGGACCCGTGGGCTACCTGGAGGTGGGTATCGTAGCACGAAAATCCAGCTCTGAGGGTGTTGTTACAGCTGAAGTACAAAAGGCGGGTCTACAAGATGATGTCCTTGGACGAGAAGCAGCTGAAGAGCCTGCACACGAGGGCCAACCTGCGGAGGTTCCTGGACTACGTGCACAACGGGCAAGTCGAGAAGATCACGAAGATGTGCTCGAAGGGGCTGGATCCGAACTTCCACTGCCAAGACTCAGGTGGTAAGTACCACCCCCGACACACTAACTTTTGTTAACGCTAGTGTTGCAGAAACGCCCCTGACGCTCGCCACCGGCATCAAAAAACCCTCAAAAGTCCTCATCGCCCTCGTCAACGGCGGCGCCCTCCTGGACTACCGCACCAGGGACGGCTCCACCGCCATGCACCGCTCCGTCGAGCACAAGTCCCTCGAGGCCATGAAGACCCTGCTCGAGCTCGGCGCCTCGCCCAACTACAAGGACGGCAAGGGCCTCACCCCCCTGTACCTCACGGTCACCCACAACGCCGACCCGGCCTTCACGGAGACGCTGCTCCACGACCACGCCGGCACGGGCGCGCAGGACCTGCAGGGCTGGCAGGAGGTGCACCAGGCGTGCAAGACCGGCATGATGCAGCACCTGGAGCACTTGCTCTTCTACGGCGCCGACATGAACTCCCGCAACGCCTCCGGCAACACGCCGCTGCACGTGTGCGCGGTCAACAACCAGGAGTCCTGCGCCAGGCAACTCCTGTTCCGGGGGGCGGACCGAGGCGCCCTCAACTACGCCAACCAGACGCCGGGACAGGTGGCGGTGATCGCGGGCAACATGGAGCTGGCGGAGATCATCCAGAACTACAGGCAGGAGGACGTCGGTGAGTTGGACTGAAGTTGGGAGTTGCATGGTTGCATCTTGTGCAGCACGTGGTTGGTCTTGCGGGTGGTGCAGTATGATTGGTGTTCCAGCGGTTTCTTTTTTTCGAAAAAGTTGGCACCTGGAACTCGCCGAGACAGTTTTTTAGTGATTTTTGACCGATTTTTGACTACTCCAAATCATACTGGAGCATTTACTACTTATTTTTGCATGGACTGTTTTTGAGTGGCTATTTTTAACATCCTTTTTTACGTCAATTTTCATATTTTGTTCATACAGGAACCAACAGTGAAAAGCGTACAGGTGAATCTTAGAAAGCAGGCAACAGTTCTAAATTTTTTCATTCAAAGAAAGCTGGTTATTTTTAGATTTTAATGTTGGTTTACGCTTTGTGTGATCGTTTCGTTGTCTGTACAGGGTTGTCACTAAGTACCCACGATTGTTGTTCGAGTATCATATACAAAGTTATTTTCAACTTTGATTTTAGTGACTCACCCTGTATTTAATTTCGTGACGTTCGCTTTTATTTTCTTAACGTACGACGTGTACTGAGCATAGAGAATGTGGAAAGTTACATTTGTCCAAATTTGCCGCTCTACTTTATATTAAACATTACTATCGGCAATAAAGTGACAGGTTACGTCCTTTTGACACTTATAGCGCATGTTTCGACAAGGCGGCAAACGTTAAATCATTTGTGGACACTCAGATTTTTTTGCTATTTTTTGCAATGAGGATGTGAGATAGCCAGCTTTTGTAAATACTTTATTTAAACACAAAATTATATATCGGGTGTTCTTCCTAGTGAATTGTTTACGTTTTTTTTTCAACACGTATACAGATATTTGAAATATTTTTGATTGCTGATTTTTAAAGCTTTTTTTCAGTATTTTTATTTCCTGCCAAAGTGAGGCTTAGTTGCATTTCATTTTTGATCATTATTTTAATAAATGCTTGAAAATCATATAATTGCTTGTGTGGAACAAAAATGTATAGGCCCTTATGGTTTAATAAATTAAACTCCTACATTATCATACAGTTTCATAATCGTAAATAATATTGGTGCCAGAATAACGGGGATAACGATTTTTTGCCGAAAGTTTCGAGGAGCGAGGTCTAAAAATTGACAGTTTTTTATTATTCGAACCAAGATTATCTACTACATAACCTCAATCGTAAATCACTCACACTTTAGAGTAAAATTAAATAAATAACAATACATTTTACTCAAATAACTCGTACATGATAAGATTATAAATTACAAAACAATCTACAATGACACCATTTAAAAAATTAAAACAACTAAAGTATGCAACCAGTAAAACCTAAAACAAATCCTGTGTACTCTCTATTAATTCAGAGTTCTTGAAGTTAAATACTGAGGTGGAATCGACTAATTAATTACCTAGACTATCTGTATTAGAAACCACAGGTTTTAATGTGTCTTTCCTCGAAACTGTTAGCAAAAAATCGTGCTTTGTTTTCGCTTTGTCCAACACCTCCGTTATCCTGCCACTAATTTAAAGATATTGGACATGATCCCTAATACAATATAAATCATATTGTTCCAAAACCTCGAAAGCCGGAGTGACTTCTCAGTTTTCGTAGTTTTGGAGTAGTACCATCTCTCAATTGCTCGTGGTACCCAAAAATCAGTTCCGAGCTCGGTAAGCCACCTCCACGAGAAAAGTGCAAGCCTGTCCGAACCGGTATTTTTCTCGCTCTGTTGAACCTCAATGTTAGTTAGCCCCGAATTAGAACCCACCTCCAAAAACCAGGTGCGAGGTAACTTATCTGTCTGTTTAAGTGTAGCCGTGCAACCATGTGACGCCGTATAGCGATTATAACCGCACACTTCTAGATCTCTAGCGTTAATATTTCAGTCCCGTACCGCGGCCCACCCAGCTATAACCCGAAGCGTAGGTCCGCCATAGGATGGCTGAACAGAGCCCCCTCCATGACCACCCTAGCCCTACCTCCAAGTCCCTGTCCCAGCGACCGCTCCTCGGCCCCTTTCAGCTCGGCCAGCTCGAGTCTGAGCGATAGCAGCAGCGCTCCACCGGGCCACGAGACCGATACCGCCAGCATCGTCACAGGTATTCCACCCTGTATAGTAGAGGCGTGTCGAGCGCACCCGAACGCTCTCGGACGCGCTCGAGACGGTTCTACTGTATGTCTAACCTAACCGGAGCGCGACCTAACCGAACTCGGTTAAGTCGCGGCCCGCCGCTTTGTGCATGTTGAGTGGGCATTAGGGAATGGCTCGTGATTGGTCGGCGGGTGCGTGACGTCACGGACACGCGGCCAATGCCACCGCGCTAGCAGATACCCATGAGCATAAAACTGCACGTTTTACAAATGATGTGATGTTACTCAGTGCTCGCACTGGGTGTTGCAGATAAGAGTTTGGGGGATGCGAGCGATATCATCAGCGACAGCTCGGGGGTGGGCACGGCCAACTCGGACACGACTTACTTGGCGGCCCCGGGGACGGTGGTGGTCTGCATAGAGTCGTACTCGGCGCAGGAGGACGGCCACATCAGCATCAGGGAGGGGGACATCCTCGAAGGTAATTCGTGACACTTTATTTGTACAAGTACGTCATTTGTTAAAATGGGAAACATCAAGGGACTGAGGTTTGACCCTCGCACTACTCCTTACGTCCTGAGAAAATACACCAAGCCGGCCCTGGTCATATAATGAAATAAGGCTTATTCGCTTTAATTCGTTGTTGTTCATTCAATTATTGTAATCACATCATCATCAAAACCAGTAACTCGGTAACCTTGACGTCAAGGTGTGGATGTTGGTGCCCGAGGACTTCACTAAAAAATTATGATTGTTGTATATGTTTGTTCGTGTCATCGCATTATTTTGACTTTAAGGACAACAACCAATGTAGTTTTTTTTGAATAAATTTGTCGTCCAATATATGCGAAATGTAACCTTACTCACCACGTTTCTGCTTGGACATGGTTCGTGTTTCTTTTGGAATTGTTAATACGGGAATTAAAAAACATTAAATCATTCTTCGTTCTTGTGTCCAGTGACAGGTACCACCGACGACGGTCTTCTCGAAGGGGTGCCGCGAAGCGGCGGCAACAAAACCGGCCTCTTCCCCGCCCACTGCGTCCAAGAAGTCCGCCTCCGCCACAACATCCAAGCGCCCATGATGGTAGCCCGGGACGCCCGACAACCACCCAGCAAGAGCAACGGCCGCGTGTTGGGCAGGCGGGAGAACACGTCGAAGCACTTCGCCACGGCTCCCCGTTTAAAGAAAACGTAAGACTCCTCTTTGAGTACCTTCAGTACTACAACGATTTTCTCCAGCTACGGGGACAGCGAACCCCGCACCGTCGTTCTCCACCGCGGCAAGAAAGGCTTCGGTTTCATCCTCCGCGGCGCCAAAGCCACCTCCCCCCTCATGGAGCTCACCCCCTCCGAGAAGTGCCCCGCGCTGCAGTACCTCGACGACGTGGACCCCGGCGGCGTGGCCGACATGGCCGGCCTCAAGAAAGGCGACTTTCTCCTCGCCATCAACTCCGAGGACGTCTCGTCGGCGTCGCACGAGCACGTGGTGGACCTCATCCGCAAGTCGGGCGACCTGGTGCAGATGACTGTGATGAGTCTGGCGCCGCCTGCCGCTACTATGCCCATGAGCAAGAGCAGCATCCTGCCGGGGAACGCGGACGTGCCCTTGAGTCGGCAGTACGCGACGCTGCCGAGGAAGATGGGTAACTCGTGCGGGACGTTGGGTCGGTCGACGCAAGCACCGCTGCCGCCGCGGCGCGACCCCAAGACTACGTTGAGCGTCGGGCGGGCGCGGGCTAAGAGCATGGTGGCGGGGCTAGAGGGCGCAGAGAAAGAAGAGACTGAAGACATAACGAAATCGAGCTCCGCCGAGTCGATACACCAGATGACCCCAGGAGGTACCGGCAACTCCACGCCCGTGCAGATCCGCACGGCTTCCATCCGCCAGCGGCCGTCGTCGAGCCGCATCACCTCGGCGGAGTTGGAGGAGCTGTTCCAGCGGCAGCGGGAAGGGGACGTCAAGCACAAGTACAACTCGCTGATGAGTACTTCGCGCTTTCACGGGTCCAACACGCTGACGCATCCGTCGTCGCCGGGGAAGAACCGGGTCTACGCCAGTGTCGCTGAGATGAAGCGCAAGAACAAGAACTCGAAGGTGCGCTTCTCGAGCGGGTTGGCGGGGACGGGGGAGCTCCACCGGGATTTCCACAGTACGCCGGATTTGGCGCAGGAGGTGTCGATGTTGCTGAATAGCAAGCATCATAGGAGCCAGGAGGACTTGGCGCTGTTGAGTAGTAGAGCGTTACCGCCGCCGAACCACCCGCCACCGCCGCCTCCACCCACGGTCCAAGTAGTGAAAGTGGAAGTGTCGAGAGGGGGACAGTCGGAGTACGACTCTCTGAGTAAAGATAGCCTTGAAGAGAACGTGGTCTCGTCGTTCAAACCCACCACTAGCGCCAAGTTGTATGCGTCTCCCGAAGACATGAAGACCGTAGGTTACAGGTCGAAGAGTTTACCGTCGCATTCGTCGAGGCCCCACGTGAGGAAGTCGCACAGCATGAGGACTAACTACTCCACGTTTAAACCAACGCATGCGTCGAGTCCCGCTACCAAGAGTACCAACGCGAATACGTATGCACAACCCATTAGGGCCTCGAGGTCACACTCGACTGCAGGTACGTTCATGGTCGAAATAATCGCCGGAGACTCATGATGTGTTTAGGTACTCGTGAGAGGCGGAGGAAACTCAGCTCGAGTAAATCTGCGTCGAACGTGACTCACACTGCTCAAGGAACCGCCCCGCCTATACCAGAACCGGACTATAGTTGCAGCGAATCGGAAAGAGAGAGCGAAGAAGAATCAAAGGACCACACGATGGTACCGAGGTTGCCCCAAACAGTACACCTCCAACAAGTCGAGAATAGCGGAAACAGTAATACCAGGTAAATCAACGTGTTTATTTTTCTAAAAAAACGTACAGATCAGCACGGTTCTGGGTCTTTCTTGGGGTCGGTTTCGTCGCAACCTTTTGGTTTTTCCTTACACAAGAACTGTCCCTCCCAGAATTTTATATATTCGGCTTTGCGTTTCTCTCGTCGTTCGAAGTACTCAGGGTACTGTGCTTTTTCTAACGGGTGCCAATAATCCAGGACCCAGTCAGGTGGTACTACCTCGCGCTGGTACGCACTACCACCTGGAGAGTTCACGAATTGCTTCACATGCCAGTGTTGTTTATGGAAAAGTTCGTCTTCTCCTTCTTCCAAAAGGTGTCTAGCCACTGCCATGTCTTTGACGTCTTTGTGTTGGTCAAAACGGTCCCGCATGGTAACCGCGTAGTACCTATAGACGTCTCTCCGGTCGTACCACGATTCAAGATTCCTTAGCGCTTTCTTGTACAACCTTTTGACTCTTTGAACGTGCGAAACTAAACCCGTAGGCACAGACATCCCGTCAAATATAAAACTGTCAACAAGTCGCTTCCTTGGTAACGAGCACGGTCTTCATGATTGTCGTTTTTGTCCAGTGGGAGCAGCTCGGGCAGCAGTTCCATGCCGCACAGCTTCAGCGTGGAAGAAATCCAAAAAGGAAAGTCGTTGCTGAAGTCTTCCAAGTCTTATCCTGAAGACTTCTTGAAGAAACAGAACGAACTAGCGATCGCAACCATAGAAGACGGAGACAACAGTTCCTCTGGAGTGAGTTCCGACCAAGAAGTGCCAAGCGGGAACGAAACCTTGAACGCCCAAGAACACAACAGCATGACCCTACCATCGCCGAAAACCCAGCGACAACACACAGGTGAGACCTCCGCATAGTGATTGCGCTTCGGTGCTGAGTGTGTCGTTCGTAGGTCTGTTGTCTCGGCACGCCGTGTCGCTGGCGCAGCTGCCGCCGCCGATCGAGGGCGACGGCGACGAGAAGGAGGACTTCTGCCTGCCCCCGCCGCCCGAGTTCGGGGGCGGCAACAGCTGCGTGGAGCACGGGCCGGAGGCCGTGTTGGCGCCGCCGCCGCAGTTCAGCGACAACCGCCAGGTGACCAGAGTTCGGATCGTGGGGACGGTGCCGAAGCCGGGGCCCCCGGTCGGCGGCGCTCAACCCAAAGCGAAGCAGGGAAGGCTGCACAGTCAGTGACGTACCGAGACGAATTTTTGATAATTTTCTAAATCACAGATAGTGCGCCGCTAGCGAATAATTCCGTCATGATCCATTATCATTATTCAACTCATCCTGCCAAAATATTCATAAATCGATATTTTTGAAATTATAATGTTGTACTGTGGTAATTTTAAGTATATTTATCGTTTTTGTTCTCTCGCGGTATCTATGAATTTTATCATGTCTGTCTGTATTTAGTGGCCTAAGTATTGTGTATTATTTCGTGTAAATTCTGCTCAATTCATGGATTGCCTAATGTAAATATTTTTTTAATGGTAATTGAGGGGAACAGTTTTTGTATGATGTGGTTTGTACATTAACTGTGCTTTTTATTCGAACTATCTCGGGGTAGTTTTGATAAAAATTATGCACGTATGACGTGTGCCATATGTACGTGTGCATGTACCAGTGTTTACTGAAATTTTAAGCGGATTTTCGTAGACACTGTGTGTGATTATTACTATTCGCTCGTCGCCTGTATTTAATATTTATTGTACCGGTACACTTTGTTTCCGTATGGAATAGTAATAATCGTGTGTTTATCCCGATCGAACGTGGCTGTTTTCAGTTTTTCCTTCAGAATCTCGTAAATTAATATTAGGTGATAATTACATAATTCTCGTTACAGCAGAAGACATTTTATTCCACTAAATTGTAAAAGAATATTATTACTATAAGACATCTTTTAACGTTATAGTAATTCATTCTTTTATACCTTAAATTTTTAACTTGTATAACATTTTCCGTTACTCGTTCAACTGAGAAATCATATAGTCACGATTATCTCATTAAATGTATCTACCACCGTATTTTTTTCTGTGTGATATTAAAGTTAAACGCAGTGGGCAAACGAAAGAAGTGTTTCAATAAAATCGAGTTTTCCCGCTTTGCAGGTTTTCGACCCACTGCGCAACTCATTAAGTTGTCTTTTATTTGTCACTCGTTAACCATTAGATCCCATTAATTTTCCTATTTAAAAAATGTAATGCTTAATAACTAGGCAGACCACTGCATGTAGAGATATGTAAAAATAAAACTGATTGTTTTTGCACTTTATTACAAATACGCAACCAACAAATGTGTTATGGAAATATAACTTTTTTGTACATATTTAATAATAAATTTATGATAAGATTAAACTGTGTTTTGTTATATTCATATTTATTCGGGTGTAAGGTTCATACAAATAGGGAAACTTTTATTTATTTCGTCCCAGAACTTCATTCTTTCTATATCCGGATCCACTCCGTCTTTCAACTCTGTATCTATCTCCAAATAGTTGAGGCAATCCTGTCCCACTGGGCGCCACTCACAATCCAAGAGGGAATTTTTCTCAGGAACGGGACTACCACACCTGGCAAAGTTTGCCCACATCTTGACAAACCGACGAACGCATTTCTCCTCAATCGTCCCTTTTTTTAACCCCCTCGCTTGTATTTTAAACAAATAGGACATGCAATCGCCGTGGGCAGCCCCTATAAACACAATTAACTTTGCTCCAACTATAACTAATCACGGCAGCCCCGTAGCTAGAAAACTTATTCAGGGGGGGCAAGTTTGTCGACAGAGGGGGCTTCATGTAAATATTTATATTTTAATAATACACTCAGATAACTATTTTATTTTTTCTGAGTTTTTATATTTGAAAGAACATTAAAATAATTGGAAACGTCGATTTTTCACGCTAAATTTTCGTAAAAACCTGTCGAAGTCCAAAAAATTAGTACGGTACTTGGTTAAAATGCTGGTTAAAACAGAGAATGTAGATTCACAAACAGCTGTACTGCATCCAAAAATTTGTGTAGTGACCATATAGGTAACATCCAATTTGTTTGAGTTTATTTTTTTGCATGTTTAGTACATATTTTAAAAATCCGACTTCGAAACCAAATATTTCGAAAATTTTGGTACGGAACCATGAACTCGTCATGTTTTTTTAAACTCGTCGAGATGTGTATTTCAGAATTTTTTGTCAACTTTAACAAAAGCTCAATTTTTGGAAACCCATATAAAATTTTTGACTTTTCCCAAGCATTTTCGAAAATTACCAAAAGAATTCCTTTGTTCATCTCGATTTCTTCCAAAAATCGTTTTGGATTCAATTTTTTTGAAAATTCTTACATTTTTTGCAGAATCGACGGAAGAAAAATGGCAATTTTTGAGAACCTGTATCAAATTTTTGACTTTTTTCAAGCACATTCGAAATTACCAAAAGGGATTCCTTTATTGATTTCGATCTCCAGATGTTGTTTTTGGTTGTTTTTTCGAAAATTCGTACAATTTTTCCATAATCGCCAAAAGAAATATGGTAATTTTTGAGAAATTTTGAAAATTCGAGCTCGAAACCGAGTATTTCGAAAATTTTGATCCGGAACCATGAACCTGTCATGTTTTTTTAAGCTCGTCCAAATCTATATTTCAGAATTTTTTGTCAACTTTTACGAAAGTTCAATTTTTGAAAACCCATATAAAATTTTTGGCTTTTCTCAAGCATTTTCGAAAATTACCAAAAGAGATTCCTTTGTTCATCTCGATTTCCAGAAATCGTTTTGGATTCAATTTTTTTGAAAATTCTAACTTTTTTTCCAGAATCGACGGGAGAAATATGGCAATTTTTGAGAACCTGTGTCAAATTTTTGACTTCTTTTCAAGCACGTTCGAGATTACCAAAAGGGATTCCTTTATTGATTTCGATCTCCAGATGTTGTTTTTGGTTGTTTTTTCGAAAATGTGTACAATTTTTCCACAATCGCCAAAAGAAATATGGTAATTTTTGAGAAATTTTGAAAATTCGAGCTCGAAACCGAGTATTTCGAAAATTTTGATCCGGAACCATGAACCTGTCATGTTTTTTTAAGCTCGTCCAAATCTATATTTCAGAATTTTTTGTCAACTTTTACGAAAGTTCAATTTTTGAAAACCCATATAAAATTTTTGGCTTTTCTCAAGCATTTTCGAAAATTACCAAAAGAGATTCCTTTGTTCATCTCGATTTCCAGAAATCGTTTTGGATTCAATTTTTTTGAAAATTCTAACTTTTTTTCCAGAATCGACGGGAGAAATATGGCAATTTTTGAGAACCTGTGTCAAATTTTTGACTTTTTTTCAAGCACGTTCGAGATTACCAAAAGGGATTCCTTTATTGATTTCGATCTCCAGATGTTGTTTTTGGTTGTTTTTTCGAAAATGTGTACAATTTTTCCACAATCGCCAAAAGAAATATGGTAATTTTTGAGAAATTTTGAAAATTCGAGCTCGAAACCGAGTATTTCGAAAATTTTGATCCGGAACCATGAACCTGTCATGTTTTTTTAAGCTCGTCCAAATCTATATTTCAGAATTTTTTGTCAACTTTTACGAAAGTTCAATTTTTGAAAACCCATATAAAATTTTTGGCTTTTCTCAAGCATTTTCGAAAATTACCAAAAGAGATTCCTTTGTTCATCTCGATTTCCAGAAATCGTTTTGGATTCAATTTTTTTGAAAATTCTAACTTTTTTTCCAGAATCGACGGGAGAAATATGGCAATTTTTGAGAACCTGTGTCAAATTTTTGACTTCTTTTCAAGCACGTTCGAGATTACCAAAAGGGATTCCTTTATTGATTTCGATCTCCAGATGTTGTTTTTGGTTGTTTTTTCGAAAATGTGTACAATTTTTCCACAATCGCCAAAAGAAATATGGTAATTTTTGAGAAATTTTGAAAATTCGAGCTCGAAACCGAGTATTTCGAAAATTTTGATCCGGAACCATGAACCTGTCATGTTTTTTTAAGCTCGTCCAAATCTATATTTCAGAATTTTTTGTCAACTTTTACGAAAGTTTAATTTTTGAAAACCCATAATAGCTGATAATAGCGCGGGGGGCTTATTTTAACAAAAACAGCGACTTCACGAAAACACAACTCTATTTAGTGATAGTTCACAACGCAATGCCATCCAACATATCTTCGCTAGCGCCACTTAACAACCCTCTCGCACCGCCCCCGTCGTACCAGCCCTTTCTGACCTTCTGCGACCTCAGTTAAATAAAGACAGTGGCGTAGCAGGGGAATTGGTGTTGGCAATGAGGTTCACCGCTAACACCCATATAAAATTTTTGACTTTTCCCAAGCATTTTTAAAAATTATCAAAAGAGACTCCTTTGTTCATCTCGATTTCCAAAAATCGTTTTGGATTCAATTTTTTTGAAAATTCTTACAATTTTTCCAGAATCGACGGAAGAAATATGGCAATTTTTGAAAACCTGTATCAAATTTTTGACTTTTTTCAAGCACGTTCGAGATTACCAAAAGGGATTCCTTTATTGATTTCGATCTCCAGATGTTGTTTTTGGTTTTGTTTGGTTGAAAAGTCGTAAAATTTTTCAGCAATCGCCAAACGAAATGTAATTTTTGAACTTTGAAACCGAATGTTTCGAAAATCTTGATCTGGGACCATCTAGACCTTGTGTTTTTTGATTGAGCTCGTCGAGATCAACATTTCAGATTTTTTTGTGGATTTTTAGTCAACTTCAACAAAAGCTAAATTTTTGAAAATCTATAAAATGTTTATGACTTTTCCCAACCGTTTTCGAAAATTAGCAAAAGGGATCTCTTTATCGATTTCGATCTCCAAATGTTGTTTTTGGTTTTATTTTCTCGAAAATTTGTACAATTTTTCCAAAGCCGCCAAAAGAAATGTAATTTTTGAGAAATTTTGAAATGTCGACTTTGAAACCGAATTTTTCGAAAATCTTGGTCTGGGACCATCAAGACCTTGTGTTTTTGGATTAAGCTCATCGAGATCTACATCTCGGAATTTTTTGTTAATTTCAACAAAAGCTCAATTTTTGAAAATCCATATACATTTTTTGACTTTTCCCAAGCATCTTCGAAAATTAGCAAAAGGGATCTCTTTATTGATTTCGATCTACAGATGTTATTTTTGGTTTTATTTTTTTGATATTTCGTTGAATTTTTCCACAATCGCATAAAGAAATAACTTTTTTTTAAGTCACTTTTGAGATTTTTTAGAAATTTTAGGTAGAACCCAATATTTCGTAAATTTTGCTCCGGGAGCATGAACATGTTTTTCGATTAAGCTCATCGAGATCTATATTTCAGAATTTTTTGTCAACTCTAACAAAAGCTCAATTTTTGAAAACTAAATAAATTTTGACTTTTCTTAGCATTTCCAAAAATTACCGAAAGTCATTCTTTTATTTATTTCAATCTTCAGATGTTGTTTTTGGTTTTATTTGATCGAAAATTTGTAAAATTTTTCTAGAATCGTCAAAAGAAGAGTATAATTTTTGAGAAATTTTAAAAATTCGACTTGGAAACCGAATAGCAGCAAGACCTTATGTTTTTTGACTAAACTCGTCGAGATCTACATCTCAGAATTTTTTGTAGATTTTCAGCCAATTTCAACAAAAGCTCAATTTTTGAAAATCTATAAAAAAAATTTGACTTTTCCCACGCATTTTCGAAAACTAGCAGAAGGGATCTTTTTATTGATTTCGATCTCCAAATGTTTTTTTTTGGTTTTATTTTTTCGAAAATTCGTACAATTTTTCCAGAGCCGCCAAAAGAAATGTAATTTTTCAGAAATTTTGAAATGTCGACTTTGGAACCGAATTTTTGAAAAATCTTGGTCTGGGACCATCAAGACCTTATGTTTTTTGATTAAGCTCATCGAGATCTACATCTCAGAATTTTTTGTCTATTTTTTGTCCATTTCAATAAAAGCTCAATTCTTAGAAAATCCATATAATATTTTTTTATGCGGTCAACATCAACGGTAAGGTGATATTGCCAAATAATATACCCTGTACGAAAATAAAGGTGGGGCGGGTGGGGCCAGTTAATATGCTTCGGCAATCGGCATTATATTGAAATTTTATTACTAATTTGAAATTTATAATGTATAAGTCTTCCAGGGGGGGCAACCACAACTGCTAGGGGGGGCTCAGCCCCCTCTTGCCCCCCCGTAGCTACGGGGCTGAATCACGGGTACCTTTAAAATCTACTTTCACCATTTTCTTGAAAAGGTTATAATCGGTATCGAGCGACACGCGATAGTAGTAGATCGGTTTTTGACTAAATTTTCGATGAAGTTGTAGACTTTGATAAACCCCGTTTATAAAAACAGCGTCACTGAAATACTTCACAAACCATGATTGAACAAATCAAGTACAGTACCCACATTGGTAAAATTAAGACGATCATTTTTGTCCGGTGAGTCTTTCTTGAAATAAAACTGGGCGATTTTTGTATTGAGGTCTTTATGTTGGGTACTCCCTTTGGGAATCCCGTAGTAATAAGGCACCAGATCGTCAAACTCAGTTATGAAGATTTGGTCGTCCATGAAAGCCAGCACACATTCAATGGAACAGTACCCTAGTATCATCGGTACGTGGTTGTAAGTACCACTTTTCAGAATGTCGAGTGGTTCCTGGATTAACAACGCGTCTGGGGTTTTAGCTTCCACGGTTGGCCCCAAGGGGCGTTTGAACGAAGGTGACAGACCCTACATAACTACAATAGGGTAAATTTAAGCAAGTACCAGTACGTACATGTTGGGGCATTTTTTGCTCAGCTATAAGCAACTCCTGCGCTGATACTTCTTGCAACAAAGTTAGAAGTTTTTCGTTGTTGGTTTCGTTACAGCCGAGTTTCTGGACTAAATCCTTCGCGTTGTTAATCCCTCGGGTCCAAGGACACAAAGTAGTACCACTCTGGAGTATGACTTTGTGAAACAAACCTTTAGAGTGTGGCGATAACATCAAGTAGTGAACGGACGCAGCACCAGCACTGTTTCCAAAAAGAGTGACGTTGCAAGGGTCTCCACCGAACTGGTCTATGTTACGCTGAACCCACTTTAAAGCCTCGAGTTGGTCTTTCAAACCCGCGTTTCCGGTTACCCCGAGTGAAGGATCCTCGATCACCAAAAACCCTACAATTTTCTTTCACACATTAATTTTCGTACTCGTGTCGTACCTAAACACGCCACTCTGTAGTTAATCGTAACCAAAACGATATCCTCAGTCATTAAAAACTCAGGTCCGTAGAGTATCCTTCTGGACGAGCCAGTAATAAAAGCGCCACCGTGCACAAACACCATCACCGGTTTTAACTTGTCTTTGTCGCTTTGAAACAACTGAAATTTTGTATGGGTTAAGAACACGCGAGTCAATGGGTACCTGGTGGGTGAAAACGTTCAATACGAGGCAGTCTTCGCAACCCCCGAGTTCTAGTCCAATTCCCTGGAACAAAGTCGGTTGATTTTGAGACAACTAGCCCGATTTTACTTTCCCGGTAACGACCATCTGGAATGAAACGCAACAGTCACCGTCTTTCGTTGCATCGAGAACACCCTTCCACTTTTGGACTGGCTGGGGGGGTTTGAAGCGGAGTTTGCCTGTAGGTGCTGTGGCGTATGGGATCCCCATGAAACTGAAAAACGGTACTCCGTCTATGTCCGCGTCGCATTTTCCTTTGAGTTTGCCTTGTTCTACTGTGACGATGATCTCCGACGTGCTGCGAAGTCGCTGGAAAAACAGATCGCGGCGGCGAAAAAGGGACGTTAGTTTTCTGATGTGAAACATGACAGTAACTATGAAAATTAAAAATTAGTGACATTAAGAATGTTCGCACAGAAAATTTTAACAAAGTGGTGAATCTACAACACTATCGAGTGTAAAAAAAGGTACTTATAGTTGTACCAACAGGTACAGGATGGCCTCTGGTAGTACGACGGACCTAATCTGCAAATTGGAGCAAGGCGAGTTGAAAGGTCAAGTCCACAAAGACATCGACGGTCACCCGTTTCTGAGTTTCATGGGTGTTCCGTATGCGAAACCACCGGTGGGTGAACTTCGCTTCAAGCCACCTCGACCACCTGACAAATGGAGCGGAATTTTAGACGCCACCAAGGATGGGAATGTGTGCTATTCCGTCCAGAACGACATTACAGCCCCGGTAAAACCCACCCGCTTGTGAAAACTCTTAAATAACCAAGTTCTAAGACCAAAGGACCGATCCTCTTCGGGTCCGAAGACTGTCTGTTTTTAAATATCTTCACCCGTCAGCTGAATACCGAGAATTTACGACCCGTGATGGTATTCGTCCATGGTGGCGCCTTTGTAAGTGGGTCATCCTCTAGAATCACCTACGGACCGGAGTACCTCATGACGGAAGACATAGTGTTGGTACTAATGAATTACAGACTAGGAGTTTTAGGTGGTTAGACTAGTAGTCTAGACTAGTAGAGTTTAATCAAGTCTTCTACTAGGTTTCTTAACCATAGACGACCCCTCTTTGGAAGCGACGGGTAACGCAGGCCTCAAAGACCAAGTCCAGGCGTTAAAATGGGTCCAAAAAAACATTAAACATTTCGGTGGAGACCCTTCCAACGTCACTATTTTCGGGCAAAGCGCCGGCTCCGTCTCCGTCCACTTCCTAGTTCTGTCTCCACTAACCCAAGGTCTTTTCCACAAAGCCATTATGCAGAGTGGTACCGTCACGTGTCCTTGGTCCCGCGGGAGAGACACCACTCAACAAATAGCACAAGGCTGTAGTTGTATTAACACCAATAAGACCGAAATGTTGCACTGTTTACAGCACACCTCCAAAGAGACTCTTCTCGCTGCCCAGACAAAACTACTTCTTCAAACTGTAGGTGCAGGTGCTAAGGCACCTTTCGGTCCCACTATAGAAGTGGAAAACCCACAGGCTTTAATAACTAAAGAACCTGTGGATCTTATCAAATCGGGTAAATACAATCACGTTCCTTTAATGTTTGGGTACACCGATCTGGAAGGTATCTTGAGCATGATGGACACGGACGCGCAGCTGCAAACGAAGCTGGAAGATCCGGTACCATATTCGTTTAGGTACGACCACGGTAGTGAAGACTTTTTGAAACTAAGAAAGAAGATTAATCAGTTTTACTTTGGGAACGATCAGTCGGATTTTAGAAATAAGGAAGTTGCTTTTAAGGTAGGTACTGCAGGTGGTACTGTTGCATGATAGTGTTGATTTAAGCTCATCACGGATGTTACTTTTCTGCGCGGGATTGTCCAGTCTGCTAAAGCTCACGCCACGACAAGTCAACAACCGGTCTATCTGTATAGAATGTCACTTGATACTGACTTGAACTTCCTCAAGAAAGTTTTACAATTTAAATCCAAAGGTACTATTTAGTTTGTTTTTTTTAAATAAGTGTGAACGTGGTTCCAGGGGTTTGTCATGGTGATGACCTGTTCTATCTTTTTAAACCACAATTTGTCAAATTTAATCCCAAAAGTATTGAGGAAAAATCAATCCGGAGGTTTGTCAGACTGTGGACCAATTTTGCGAGATATGGTGACCCTACTCCTCAGAAAGACACATTATTGAAAACCCACTGGTCTCCCATGACTGATAAAGAGTTTCATTTTCTGGATATTGGAGAAGAACTAGTACCTGGAGTGGATCCAGACCATGCCAGACTACGATTTTGGGACGACATCAGCAAAGGGATTAACGAGAGATATTAAACAATGTCAGACACAGTTTTAGTTTCATTTTTTAAAACCCATACCGTTTGACAGTAACTACTTTTGATTTCTTGACGTCAAAAATGTCACTGATCGGTAAACTAATCCAATATAAAATAACAACCAACGTAGTTATTAACGGTTTTCGTATCATCTAGAAGCACTACGAAGGTACTTATGTCCGACCTGATTTGTATAGTGGAGCAAGGACCGATAAGAGGTCAGATAGAGAGGGACATGGACGGCGACCCATTTTTAAGCTTCCTGGGTATCCCGTATGCAAAACCACCACTGGGAAAACTCCGGTTTAAACCGCCTCAACCGGCAGAAAAGTGGCAGGGAATTCACGACGGTACTAAGGAAGGAAATCCATGTTATTCGTTACAGGTGGACTTTAGAGGCAAAGTAAAGTTCAATCATCAGTAATCACTAATCACAGTCTACAACTTCTAACACCTTTTTAGTTACCGAAGTTTAGGCTCAAGGGTTCGGAAAACTGTCTAGTTTTGAACGTTTTCACCCATCAGGTACCTTTTTCATGGTTTATCCAGTGTTCTAACTTTGTTCCTGTAGCTATTTAAAAGCGGCACGGAGAATCTATGTCCGGTCATGGTCTTCGTCCACGGCGGTGCTTTCATGACCGGCTCGTGCTCCCGAACCACCTTCGGACCCGAGAATTTAATGACCCAGGATATCGTCTTGGTACTAATGAACTACCGACTGGGAGCTTTGGGTTTCCTCTCCATAGACGACTCGTCCTTGCAAGCAACGGGCAACGCCGGCCTTAAGGACCAAGTCCTGGCCTTGAAATGGGTGCAAAAAAACATCAAACAGTTCTGTGGAGACCCTTCCAACGTTACGCTTTTCGGGCAAAGCTCTGGCTCCGCCTCGGTCCACTACCTGGTCTTATCGCCACTAACCAAAGGTAGTTCTAGGTTGTACTTTATAACCTAGACTGACCCGTCGTGTTTAGGTTTGTTCCACAAAGCGATCATGCAAAGTGGTACCGCCACCTGTCCCTGGGCTCGCGGAAGTAACAACCTGGTCGAAATAGCACGCTCTAGTGGTTGCAACCGAAAGAACAAGCGCGAAATCCTCGAGTGTTTGCAAAAAATCAAGGTAAAGCGGCTGATCAAAGCCCAGAATAAAAAGTTTGCTAGGATTTCTGGGCCGGGTGCCCAGGCACATTTTGGGCCGTGCGTGGAAGTAAGAAACCCATCCGCTGTGATCACGCAAGAACCGATGGTGATAATCAATTCGGGGAATTACAACCACGTGCCGTTGATGTTCGGGTATACCAGTTTGGAAGGGATTTTGAACACGTGGGGGACACGCTGTCAGGTCAAGAAGAAACTGAGGGATTTGTTGCCTTATTCGTTCAACTACGACAAGAAGAGTGCGAAATTTCGGGAACTGAATCAGAAGGTTGTTCAGTTTTACTTTGGTAACGATAAGCCGGACCCTAGAAAGAAGGAAATTGTTGCTCAGGTTGGATAATAATCATGGGTATTTAGGTCATAAACTCGTTGTTTAAGCTCTTCACGGATGTCACTTTCCTACGGGGTATTTTCCAGGCCGTCAAAGGTCACGTCAAGACGTGCCAAAAACCGGTTTATTTGTATAGGATGTCGATTGAAAGCGAACTGAACGCCTTCAAAAAAATTTTCAAATATGAATCTAAAGGTACTAGTTTTTTTGTTCGATTGGGGATACAACTGGTTTTTTAGGTGTCTGTCACGGCGATGACGTATGCTACATTTTTAAGACAGAACACACAAAATACAGTGCCAAAAGTTACGAGGATCGATCGATTCGCAGGTTTGTCAAATTGTGGACCAATTTCGCAAAAACTGGTAATCCGATTCCGTCGAACAACGATGAATTATTGACGACCTACTGGTATCCCGCCAGTGAAAAGTATCTTTATTTTTTGGACATTGGGGAAGAATTGATAGCCGACGTGGATCCACCAGACATGAATAGATTAAGGTTTTGGGAGGAACTCAGTAAAGGGATTAAAGAGAAGTACTCGCACACAAGATAGATGCGATTTTAGTGTAAAAATAGAGTGAAATAAACTAGTATAAAACGATGTCATTTGTTATCAGTGCGTCTGTGACTTCTTGACGTTAAAAATGTCAGTGATAGATAAATATTGAAAAATAAATTTTAATTACGCCGGATGATAGACAATTCTGATATTTCAAATGAGCCATCATCTGGTTTGCACGGTGGAGCAAGGCCAATTATTAGGTAAGATGGATAGAGACATGGACGGCAACCCATTCATGAGCTTCCTGAGTATCCCATATGCAAAACCACCCCTGTACCAACGTCGGTTCAGGCCGCCCCGACCCCCCAAAAAATGGCACGGAATTCAAGATGCTACTAAGGGACCAAAGCCATGTTTTTCCTTACAGATGGATATGACCGGCAGGGCAAGTTTTCAGTTTCCACGGATAAAGCTAGCGGGCTCGGAAAACTGTCTGTTTTTGAACGTTTTCACTCATAAGGTACTTCCGTCACGATTCGTACTGGTTCTAACTTTGATTCCATAGCTGTATAAACATGGCTCCGAGAATCTCCGTCCAGTGATGGTGTTCATCCACGGTGGCGCTTTCATAACTGGGTCTATATCTAGGACCACTTTCGGACCCGAGTATCTAATGACTGAAGACATCGTGTTGGTACTAATGAATTACAGACTCGGAGCTTTGGGTTTCTTATCCATTGATGACCCCTCCTTAGAAGCGACAGGGAACGCGGGATTGAAAGACCAAGTCCAGGCTTTGAAATGGGTGCAAAAAAACATCAAACAGTTCTGCGGGGACCCATCCAATGTTACAATTTTCGGGCAAAGCGCTGGGGCCGTCTCTGTCCACTATTTGGTTTTATCGCCACTGACCAAAGGTGAATTTAGGATTTAGTGAAACCTAGACTGACCCGTCGTGTCTAGGTTTGTTCCACAAAGCGATCATGCAAAGTGGTACCGCTACGTGTCCATGGGGTCGTGGGAAAAACGACCTAGCCGAAATAGTACGATCTAGTCATTGCAAAGAAACTGAAAGTGCGAAAGTACTCGAGTTTTTGCAAAGTATGACTGTGCGGCGGTTTTTCAAGGCTCAGAGTAAAAACTACCGTTCGGTTAGGGGACCAGGTGCCCAGGCAGTCTTCGGACCGTGTGTAGAAGTGGAAAATCCTTCAGCTGTGATCACTGAAGAACCGCTCGAGCTTATCAATTCGGGTAATTACAACCAGGTGCCGTTGATGTTCGGCTATACCGACTTGGAAGGTATTCTGGGCACGTGGGGGTCACGCTGTACCATTAAGAAGCGACTGCGAGATCTGTTGCCTTATTCATTCAAGTACGACAAGAACAGCGACGAGTTTCGGGAACTCAGTCAAAAAATCGTCCAGTTTTACTACGGCAAAAATAAACCGAATCCTGGGAAACGCGAAATTTTCGCCCAGGTTTGTAGTAGTTCAGTTGGAAATCCTGAACTGATCGACTAGTTGTTTCAGCTCTGCTCGGACATCACTTTTCTTCGGGGTATTTTCCAGGCTGTCAAAGGTCACGTCAAGACGTGCGAAAAACCCGTTTATTTGTACAGGATGTCGCTCGAGACTAATCTGAACGCCTTCAAAAAATTCCTAAAATATAAATCTAAAGGTACTCTTGACGTGTTTCGGTTAAAAATATAAATAGGTTTCCAGGTGTCTGTCACGGCGATGACATATTCTATATTTTTAAGGCACGATACACAAAATACAAACCTAAAAGTTTGGAGGAAACGTCGATTCGCAGGTTCGTCAAACTGTGGACCAATTTTGCAAGAAATAGTAACCCGACTCCTATGAACAGCGAAAATTTGCTCAAAACCTACTGGTATCCAGCTACAGAAAAGTATCTGCATTTTCTGGACATTGGGACAGAATTAATATGCGACATAGACCCGCCGGAGTTGGATAGAGTAACGTTCTGGGAGCAAATCAGCCAAGAAGTTAATGAAAATTATAACTAATAGAGTTTACATTTTATTGTCAATTATTTTGAAAACACGATATGTTATCAGTGCTTCTGTGACTTCTTGACGTTAAAAATGTCAGTGATGGGTAAAAATAACGAAATGTAAATTCTCAACTACACCGGATTTAAGGTTAGAAGATGAGTCAGACTTGACCACAAATTTCCGCTTTTATCAATGCACTTTTTATCAAAACTTTTTGTGTTGATAATGCAAAATTGTACACATAACCATTAAAACCACTGAAAACGACGCTATCGCATCGTCTACACAGTACCATCGCTCAGACGATACAGATATTGCACCATGTCCGACCCGATTTGCACTCTGGAACAAGGACAAGTAAAAGGTAAGATCGAAAAGGACATGGACGGCAACCCGTTTTTGAGCTTCATGGGTATCCCATACGCTAAACCACCACTGGACAAACTCCGGTTCAAGCCGCCTCAACCCGCCGAGAAGTGGCAAGGAATTTACGACGCCACCAAGGAACCCAATAACTGCTATTCCCTACAGGTGGAACTAACAGGATTTGTAATGTCCCATAATCACACTCTATAAAGTCTAACAGCTGATTTAGTTTCCGCAGGTGAAACTCAAAGGCTCTGAAGACTGCCTGTTTTTGAACGTTTTCACCCATCAGGTACTACCTTCTTGGTTTGTAGCCCGTTCTAACTTTGCGTTTCTAGCTAAACAAAAGCGGCTCGGAAAATCTACGTCCAGTCATGGTATTCATCCACGGTGGAGCTTTCATAACTGGGTCCATCGCTAGAGTGACCTTCGGACCCGAGTTTTTAATGACCGAGGACATCGTCTTGGTACTAATGAACTACAGACTGGGAGCTTTGGGTTTCTTAACCATAGAGGACCCCTCGTTCCAAGTGACGGGAAACGCAGGCCTTAAAGACCAAATCCTGGCTTTGAAATGGGTGCAAAAAAACATTAAGCAGTTCTGTGGGGACCCGTCCAACGTTACGCTTTTGGGGCAAAGCGCTGGGTCTGCCTCCGTCCACTATTTGGTCCTATCGCCACAAACCAAAGGTAATTACAACGTACCCCACCTAGATTTACCATCAGTTGTGTCTAGGTTTGTTCCATAGAGCGGTCATGCAAAGTGGTACCGCCACCTGTCCCTGGGCTCGCGGCAAAAACAACACGGAACAATTAGCACGAACCAGTCGCTGTAAACAAACTGACACAAAACAAGTACTCGAATGTTTGCAAGGTGTCACGGTACAGCGTCTTATTAAAGCCCAGAATAAGAACTTTGCTATGATTACGGGCCCAGGTGCCCAGGCGGCCTTCGGTCCTACTGTGGAAGTACCAAACCCAACAGCTGTCATAACTGACGAGCCGCTCAAGCTTATCAATTCGGGGAATTATAATCACGTGCCGTTAATGTTTGGGTATACCAGCGAGGAAGGTATCCTGGGTGCGTGGGGGTCCAGGTGCAAAGTTAAAAAGAAGTTGAAAGATATGTTACCTTATTCCTTTGGCTACGATAAAGACAGTGAGGAAGCTCGGGCTCTACGCCAGAAAGTGTTTCAGTTTTACTATGGCAAAGACAAACCCAATATCGGGAAGATGGAAATTTTTGCGCAGGTTTGTATGGTTCAACTCGAATCTTAAACTAGTCAAACTAATTGTTTCAGATTTCGTCTGACATCACTTTTCTGAGGGGTATTTATCAGGCTATCAAAGGTCACGTCAAGACGGCTCAAAAACCCGTTTATTTGTACAGGGTGTCGATTGAGACTGAACTGAACGCCTTTAAAAGAATCTTAAAATATAAACACAAAGGTGCCTGTCACGGCGACGACGTGTGCTACATTTTTAAGGCAAAATACGCCAAATACAAACCCAGTACTATCGAGGAAAGAGCAATTCGCAGACACGTCAGATTGTGGACCAATTTTGCGAGAACTAGTAATCCCATTCCGAACCACGACGATTTAGTGAAGACCTACTGGAACCCCGCGACTGAAAAGAACTTGAATTTTTTGGACATCGGGGAAGAATTAGTACCCGGTAAGGAACCACCAGACATGGACAGAATAGCGTTTTGGGAACAAATCTGCAAAGGGATTAATGAAAAGTACAAATAACAAATAACACTAGATTCGTTTTTATTTTGTCGTTAATTGTAAAAATAATAAAGTACTATAAAGGAAGTCATTTGTTATTCAATAATGAAGTAATCGTTTTAAATCTGAGCGTGCAATTTAAGCAATTACAAGACGTCCATCACTCCATTGACCCTGTTATTCGCTCCATTTTTCTCAACAAGTGGGTTAAAGGTCGCGCTTAATTCTTACTCAACACAGTTGCAACCAGTTACGCAATTGAAATACACACACTCTGTACAAACGACTTTGTCTAAAAATGGCTAACCCTGTGGTGCAAATCCATCAAGGCCAACTCAAAGGCCAAGTCGAAAGCGACTTCCAAGGAACGCCTTTTTTCAGTTTCATGGGTATTCCCTACGCCCAGGCACCCACAGGAGAGCTGCGGTTTAAGTCACCACAAGCACCAAGCACCTGGGACGGGATAAGGGACGCCACTAAACAAGGAACGCCGTGCCATGCCCTACAACTACTACCAACCCCAGAAGTATGCCCTAACTTTACTAAACCCAAATCAAACTTGTTTTTTTTTTAAGAGTCTGACGTTGAAAGCCATGGGTTCCGAAGACTGTCTTTTCCTAAACGTCTACACCAGAAAGGTCCCAAATGACCTTAAACCCGTCATGGTGTTCATCCACGGTGGCGCCTTCATCGCTGGGTCCAGCGACCGGGCGATGTACGGTCCCGAGTTTCTAATGACCGAGGATATAGTTTTGGTCACCGTGAACTACCGACTAGGGGCTCTAGGTAATTTTCGAAGGTGGTCGAAAAATGGTTGAAACTTCTAGTGCACAAGTTTCAAGTATTATTTACATTTTTTTTAAGTAATTCGTTTAAGAAATCTCGGAAACCATTTAAACTAAATTCAGAATTTGGTTTCTTGTGACTAATTTTACTAAATTCTCCTAAGAACGTTTCTAAGAAATCTTATAGTTGTAATTGTAGTGAATTTTACTTGTTTGAGATGAAAACGTAATTTTAAAATATCGAAATGTTCTATTTTTTGTTAAATTCAGTCAATTACGACTAATTTTGTTAGTCATTTTTGTAAAAAACGTGGAGAAATACCGAAAATGTGACAAGAAACGAAGGAAAAACATCGTTATAACCGAAATTGTAATTAATTAATTGGGTAGAAATCAGCAATAGTTAGAGGCAAGTCTTTATTTCGATTGAATTAGAGGAAATTATTTTTTTGTGTAGAATAGACACTGATTACCGTAAATTTTTGTGCTCGTTTGAATTTCAGTGTGTATTTAATCATTTATTAGATGTATTCATACTAATTACAATTAATTTTGCTAATTTCTCTAGGACCAATTTGTTTTTAAGAACGTAGAGAAATTCTGGAAACGCGTCGAGACATTGCAACAAACGGCGTCACAACCCACATTTTAATTAATGAAGTAGTCGAAATTAGCCTTAATTAGAGTCAAATATTATATTTGGTTGTGTTTAGGCTATATTATTTTTACTAGCGTCAACGAATTTTCCGTTGCTGCTTAAATTTTAATTACTTAATTATTTATTAAATAATATGGAACGGATATTAATTACCGTAAATTTTGCTAATTTCACTAATATCCATTCTTCATTCACTCCGTAATTAATTAATTAAGTAGAAATTAGTATGTAATTAAAGGACAAAAAAATCTCTTGGTAATTTTCGAAGGTGGTCGAAAAATGATTGAAATTTCTAGTGTACAAGTTTCAAGTATTATTTACATTTTTTTTTAAGTAATTCGTTTAAGAAATCACGGAAACCATTTAAACTAAATTCAGATTTGGTTTCTGATGACTAATTTTACTAAATTCTCCGAAGAACGTTTCTAAGAAATCTTGTAGTTGTAATTGTTGTGAATTTTACTTGTTTGAGATGAAAACGTAATTTTGAAATATCGAAATGTTCTATTTTTTGTTAAATTCAGTCAATTACGACTAATTTTGTTAGTCATTTTTGTAAAAAACGTGGAGAAATACCGAAAATGTGACAAGAAACGAAGGAAAAACATCGTTATAACCGAAATTGTAATTAATTAATTGGGTAGAAATCAGCAATAGTTAGAGGCAAGTCTTTATTTCGATTGAATTAGAGGAAATTATTTTTTTGTGTAGAATAGACACTGATTACCGTAAATTTTTGTGCTCGTTTGAATTTCAGTGTGTATTTAATCATTTATTAGATGTATTCATACTAATTACAATTAATTTTGCTAATTTCTCTAGGACCAATTTGTTTTTAAGAACGTAGAGAAATTCTGGAAACGCGTCGAGACATTGCAACAAACGGCGTCACAACCCACATTTTAATTAATGAAGTAGTCGAAATTAGCCTTAATTAGAGTCAAATATTATATTTGGTTGTGTTTAGACTATATTATTTTTACTAGCGTCAACGAATTTTCCGTTGCTGCTTAAATTTTAATTACTTAATTATTTATTAAATAATATGGAACGGATATTAATTACCGTAAATTTTGCTAATTTCACTAATATCCATTCTTCATTCACTCCGTAATTAATTAATTAAGTAGAAATTAGTATGTAATTAAAGGACAAAAAAATCTCTTGGTAATTTTCGAAGGTGGTCGAAAAATGATTGAAATTTCTAGTGTACAAGTTTCAAGTATTATTTACATTTTTTTTTAAGTAATTCGTTTAAGAAATCACGGAAACCATTTAAACTAAATTCAGATTTGGTTTCTGATGACTAATTTTACTAAATTCTCCGAAGAACGTTTCTAAGAAACCTTGTAGTTGTAATTGTAGTGAATTTTACTTGTTTGAGATGAAAACGTAATTTTGAAATATCGAAATGTTCTATTTTTTGTTAAATTCAGTCAATTACGACTAATTTTGTTAGTCATTTTTGTAAAAAACGTGGAGAAATACCGAAAATGTGACAAGAAACGAAGGAAAAACATCGTTATAACCGAAATTGTAATTAATTAATTGGGTAGAAATCAGCAATAGTTAGAGGCAAGTCTTTATTTCGATTGAATTAGAGGAAATTATTTTTTTGTGTAGAATAGACACTGATTACCGTAAATTTTTGTGCTCGTTTGAATTTCAGTGTGTATTTAATCATTTATTAGATGTATTCATACTAATTACAATTAATTTTGCTAATTTCTCTAGGACCAATTTGTTTTTAAGAACGTAGAGAAATTCTGGAAACGCGTCGAGACATTGCAACAAACGGCGTCACAACCCACATTTTAATTAATGAAGTAGTCGAAATTAGCCTTAATTAGAGTCAAATATTATATTTGGTTGTGTTTAGACTATATTATTTTTACTAGCGTCAACGAATTTTCCGTTGCTGCTTAAATTTTAATTACTTAATTATTTATTAAATAATATGGAACGGATATTAATTACCGTAAATTTTGCTAATTTCACTAATATCCATTCTTCATTCACTCCGTAATTAATTAATTAAGTAGAAATTAGTATGTAATTAAAGGACAAAAAAATCTCTTGGTAATTTTCGAAGGTGGTCGAAAAATGATTGAAATTTCTAGTGTACAAGTTTCAAGTATTATTTACATTTTTTTTAAGTAATTCGTTTAAGAAATCACGGAAACCATTTAAACTAAATTCAGATTTGGTTTCTGATGACTAATTTTACTAAATTCTCCGAAGAACGTTTCTAAGAAACCTTGTAGTTGTAATTGTAGTGAATTTTACTTGTTTGAGATGAAAACGTAATTTTGAAATATCGAAATGTTCTATTTTTTGTTAAATTCAGTCAATTACGACTAATTTTGTTAGTCATTTTTGTAAAAAACGTGGAGAAATACCGAAAATGTGACAAGAAACGAAGGAAAAACATCGTTATAACCGAAATTGTAATTAATTAATTGGGTAGAAATCAGCAATAGTTAGAGGCAAGTCTTTATTTCGATTGAATTAGAGGAAATTATTTTTTTGTGTAGAATAGACACTGATTACCGTAAATTTTTGTGCTCGTTTGAATTTCAGTGTGTATTTAATCATTTATTAGATGTATTCATACTAATTACAATTAATTTTGCTAATTTCTCTAGGACCAATTTGTTTTTAAGAACGTAGAGAAATTCTGGAAACGCGTCGAGACATTGCAACAAACGGCGTCACAACCCACATTTTAATTAATGAAGTAGTCGAAATTAGCCTTAATTAGAGTCAAATATTATATTTGGTTGTGTTTAGACTATATTATTTTTACTAGCGTCAACGAATTTTCCGTTGCTGCTTAAATTTTAATTACTTAATTATTTATTAAATAATATGGAACGGATATTAATTACCGTAAATTTTGCTAATTTCACTAATATCCATTCTTCATTCACTCCGTAATTAATTAATTAAGTAGAAATTAGTATGTAATTAAAGGACAAAAAAATCTCTTGGTAATTTTCGAAGGTGGTCGAAAAATGATTGAAATTTCTAGTGCACAAGTTTCAAGTATTATTTACATTTTTTTTTAAGTAATTCGTTTAAGAAATCACGGAAACCATTTAAACTAAATTCAGATTTGGTTTCTGATGACTAATTTTACTAAATTCTCCTAAGAACGTTTCTAAGAAATCTTGTAGTTGTAATTGTAGTGAATTTTACTTGTTTGAGATGAAAACGTAATTTTGAAATATCGAAATGTTCTATTTTTTGTTAAATTCAGTCAATTACGACTAATTTTGTTAGTCATTTTTGTAAAAAACGTGGAGAAATACCGAAAATGTGACAAGAAACGAAGGAAAAACATCGTTATAACCGAAATTGTAATTAATTAATTGGGTAGAAATCAGCAATAGTTAGAGGCAAGTCTTTATTTCGATTGAATTAGAGGAAATTATTTTTTTGTGTAGAATAGACACTGATTACCGTAAATTTTTGTGCTCGTTTGAATTTCAGTGTGTATTTAATCATTTATTAGATGTATTCATACTAATTACAATTAATTTTGCTAATTTCTCTAGGACCAATTTGTTTTTAAGAACGTAGAGAAATTCTGGAAACGCGTCGAGACATTGCAACAAACGGCGTCACAACCCACATTTTAATTAATGAAGTAGTCGAAATTAGCCTTAATTAGAGTCAAATATTATATTTGGTTGTGTTTAGACTATATTATTTTTACTAGCGTCAACGAATTTTCCGTTGCTGCTTAAATTTTAATTACTTAATTATTTATTAAATAATATGGAACGGATATTAATTACCGTAAATTTTGCTAATTTCACTAATATCCATTCTTCATTCACTCCGTAATTAATTAATTAAGTAGAAATTAGTATGTAATTAAAGGACAAAAAAATCTCTTGGTAATTTTCGAAGGTGGTCGAAAAATGATTGAAATTTCTAGTGTACAAGTTTCAAGTATTATTTACATTTTTTTTAAGTAATTCGTTTAAGAAATCACGGAAACCATTTAAACTAAATTCAGATTTGGTTTCTGATGACTAATTTTACTAAATTCTCCGAAGAACGTTTCTAAGAAACCTTGTAGTTGTAATTGTAGTGAATTTTACTTGTTTGAGATGAAAACGTAATTTTGAAATATCGAAATGTTCTATTTTTTGTTAAATTCAGTCAATTACGACTAATTTTGTTAGTCATTTTTGTAAAAAACGTGGAGAAATACCGAAAATGTGACAAGAAACGAAGGAAAAACATCGTTATAACCGAAATTGTAATTAATTAATTGGGTAGAAATCAGCAATAGTTAGAGGCAAGTCTTTATTTCGATTGAATTAGAGGAAATT